CCCATACGAAAAATTAAAAATCACTATTTGATTTTATTAAATTACATCTTGTTTACAATGGTCCACATACACACATCTTATAAAATAATAGGTAATAGCACATTCACTGCCAGTAAAAAAATATATTATAATGATATTATGTACACCACCTAATTTCAATAAGTCTTAGAACTGTATAATATTCTTATTCATATGGTAAATTTTCATTATAAAAAGATTGCTTTAAATTTGTCCTAATAATTTTTAGAAATATGTACACATCGATAATTGTGATCAGTATGTACAACTACCTTCTCGATTTAATATATACTTTTTCAAGAAGCGTCCTTCGTTGTTAGCATATAAATTGCATAAATATTGTTCATCAGAAAATTTTGACGCATTTGATTGTACCGAAGTTTTGAATACATTTATATCACAGGTGGTATTTTGTAATAAAAAATATGCCACGTTTATTAATAGGCACAGATAGTAACTATGACACGAGTGATTTGTAAAATAGGTTTTTTCGTTACATTCACATTATGTATGATTAAAGTAGTAAATATAATTTTATATAGAATGGCAAATAAAGAGAAATTACTTCCTCTATAAATTACATACAAAAATTAAATTTATTATTTTCATGCATTTGTCGATATAAATTAAATGTAAGATCTTTTCCATTTATAGGAAAAAGGCAATAATCTCTTTTTGATACTGTTAATTTTCTACTGTGTGATGAGTAAAAACTTATTATATTTGTCGATATTTTATGTAACTATCTTTAAGAGCATACAATTTATCATCAGTCTATAAAATGCAACAACAATGCATAACAATACGCCACACCCTCTTTACGGCTCATTAAAATATGAATACCGTATAATTTTTCATTTATTGTATATGAGTATATATGCCAATTTAATTTATAGCAAGGCATTGTACAATAGTGTTATATATAACAAAAAGAAATAAAAGGTTCATTTTAATTTTTACATGCATAAAAATAGTTTTGAAAATATTCTTTTATCAGAATCTTTGTGAAGTGTAAAAAGCGTGGCGCTGAAATAAATTTCTCGAAAAAAAAAAAAAAAAAAAAAAAAAAAAAACTTAAAAATAATTTCTGGAACTTCAATTTTTTACGCACTTCAA